TAAAAGGAAGTCCTTCTTCACCCAAAGAGTGATTAACACATGGAATTCACTGCCACAGGAGGTGGTGGTGGCTACAACCATGGACACCTTCAAGAGGGAACTGGATAAACATATGGAGCAGAGGTCCATCAGTGGCTATTAGCCACAAGGTATAGATAGGAACTCTCAGGTTGGGGCAAGTGATGCTCTGTATTCTTGGTGCTTGGGGGGGGGCAGTGGGAGGGCTTCTAATGTCCTGGCCCCACTGCTGGACCTCCTGATGGCACCTGGTATTTTTGGCCACTGCGTGACACAGAGTGTTGGACTGGATGGGCCATTGGCCTGATCTAACGTGGGCTTCTCTTACATTCTTATATCTGGGGCAAGTGATGATTTGTATTCCTGGTGCTTGGGGGAGCAACAGTGGGAGGGCTTCTGGAGTTCTGGCCCCACTGCTGGACCTCCTGATGGCACCTGGGTTTTGGCCAGTGTGTGACACAGAGTGTCGGACTGGATGGGCCACTGGGCTGACCCAACACGGCTTCTCTTATGTTCTTCTGAGCTCCATCAGTGGCTATTAGCCACAAGGTATAGATGGAACACATTTCTGTCTGGGGCAAGGCCGCGGGCACATACTGATTGGTATAGTGGTTAAGTGCACGGACTCTAATCTGGGAGAACCAGGTTTGATTCCCCACTCCTTCACTTACACCTGGCTGGATGACCTTGGGCAAGCCCTAGCTCTGAGAAGAGCTGTCCTTGAAAAAAGAGCAGTTTCTGTCAGAGCTCTCTCAGCCCCACCTCCCTCCCAGGGTGTCTGTGGTGGGGAGGGGAAGGGAAAGGAGTTTGTAAGCTGCTCTGAGACTCCCTTGGGTAGTGAAGGGCGGGGTATTAATCCAATCTCTTCTGTCTTCTCACCTGGAAGTCATGGCGACCCCTAGTGACTGACCCCTTTTTGGGGCCTGGAGGATATTCAGAGAGGTGGCTAACGCCTGCCCCCTCCTCCCGACTGCTGGTATTTCTTAGAGGTCTCCCATCCAAGTACATGCCAGAGTCACCCCTGCTTAGCTTCTGAGATCTGATGAGATCAGGCTTGCCTGGGCGATCCAGGTCAAGGCGAGACCTGATTGACTATGCAGATTAAAATAATATCCCCTGAACATTGGCAGCGGCCACCACAGTGTGGTTTCGTTCTCTCTCTCACTTCCCCTTCCCCATGTATTTTCCTACATTACTTCTCTTGCCCCTCTTGTGCTGAGGTCTCTTCTGTGGGTGCGGCTTTGCTTCCTGTGGCCGCTGTTTTGCAGTGGGCTCCGCCTCCCACGACAGCCATTTTGTGCCTGCACTCCCCACCCTAAGTCAGAATTCTAAGAGTGCCCGCAAGGTTCAAAAAGATTGGAGATTGGGGATCTATATAGTGTGAGGTGAAAGTATATCGGCATTGTAAAGTTGAGAGCTGAAGTTATGGAGAAAATATAATTTACTACGTTTAAGTTTGCAAATGGGGATTTTGAAAGCTAACAATACTTTTTGAAATGTTGAAAGAATATCTTAAAGGGACTAGATTGATATTATATAAGAAATTTGAACTGTCTAACTGCTGTGATATACCTGTGTGTGTTTTTCCCTTTTATATTTTAATTGTTGTAAAATTGATTAATAATAGTAATATCAGGTAGGATATAGGGGAAAAATGAATTGTTTATTGGGAACAGAATTTTATTTAATGTCATCAGATGTGGATTATAGATTAACAAAGGGGAAAAGGGAATTATGTCTCTAAAGATTTATGAACGAGGCAATGGCTGGATATCTTTGAAGTGTATGGCTCTCTCTTTTTTGTTTTATATAACTCTTTTAAAAAGTAATAAACCTTGACAACAATGGGCAAGCAGGGGGAAAAAAAAGATTGGAGATTCCCTAGGATAGAGGCCAACCCGACAGACTGGGCACTAACGTCTTGCCCTCGTCTCTTTCCAGGTCTCTGCTGAGGAGAAACTTCTGGGAGGCGCCACTCATCTCGCATCCGACTCTTCCAACGCAGTGATGGCTTCCGCCACGAGCGACTGGTTGATGCTACAGGGCTCCGTGTCGATCGTCACCTTGCTCCTGGCGTCCATGTGAACGGGAGTCGTGCCACTCTCGCAAGAGCCCTGATCGGACTGCTCTTTGTTTCTTTACGACTCGGGAAGAAGAGGTGAAAAAGGTCCCGCCTGCCTCTCTTCCTCTTCTTTGGTATTATATGGAGACAAAAAAGAAGAAGAAAAAAGAGAAAGCTCATTTCATTGGCTTGTTCACCGACACCTTTCCGGGTGAGCAAGGGGGCGTTCATCACGGGGAGGAGGAACGGGTCGGGACAACCGCAGACCGGAGCTAAGGCTCCGGTCAGGACTAATCCACATTCGTTTCATATTTTGACGTTGGCAAGTCACGGTCGAAGTTGTTCATTTCGATGCGGCCAAAATGGTATTTTCAGGAAACCAACATGGCCAAACGACGGATTATTTCGGTCTTGGAAACCTTTGAAAGAACGGATCAAGGTAGGACGACGCAAGCCCCAATCTGCCTGCGCGTGTCTGAACGATCACCCTCTGTCTCGCGCATCCCAGCGACTTCTGGTAATGACGTTACGTAAAACTAGGGTTGTATAATCTGGCCATAAGAACTGGGTTGTCCAGATTGAGAGTGGGAGACAGAGTGGGCGCGCTACACAGCCACCGTGAGCCGGACTTCTGTGTTTCCCACGATACTTCGGCGAGAGATGGAAATGGCGGACTCTCTTTGAAGGAATGGGTGGTGCTTTGGGAATATAACCTTCCTGGAAGATTCCCGGGAACGGAAGGGAGCAACGGTGCTGGCAGAACAGGATGACTGGCCCCATATTGGAAGAAGAATTCATTCTTATCAAGAACTGACTGACATAAGAACAAAAGAAGAGCTCTGCTGGAACAGACCAGTGGTCCATCTAGCCCAGCCTCCTGTCCCACACAGTGGACAACCAGTTCCTCTGGAGGGTCAGCAACAGGGCAGAGAGGCCTAGGCCTTCCCCTGATAAGAACATCAGAAGAGCCCTGCTGGATCAGACCAGGGAGGGTCCATCTAGTCCAGCCTCCTGTCTCACACAGGGGCCAGCCAGTCCCTCTGGAGGGCCAGCAACAGGGCAGAGAGGCCGAGGCCTTCCCCTGATAAGAACATCAGAAGAGCCCTGCTGGATCAGACCAGTGAGGGTCCATCTAGTCCAGCCTCCTGTCTCACACAGGGGCCAGCCAGTTCCTCTGGAGGGCCAGCAACAGGGCAGAGAGGCCGAGGCCTTCCCCTGATAAGAACATCAGAAGAGCCCTGCTGGATCAGACCAGTGAGGGTCCATCTAGTCCAGCCTCCTGTCTCACACAGGGGCCAGCCAGTTCCTCTGGAGGGCCAGCAACAGGGCAGAGAGGCCGAGGCCTTCCCCTGATAAGAACATCAGAAGAGCCCTGCTGGGTCAGACCAGGGAGGGTCCCTCTAGTCCAGCCTCCTGTCTCACACAGGGGCCAGCCAGTCCCTCTGGAGGGCCAGCAACAGGGCAGAGAGGCCGAGGCCTTCCCCTGATAAGGACATCAGAAGAGCCCTGCTGGATCAGACCAGTGAGAGTCCATCTAGTCCAGCATCAAGTCTCACACAGTGGCCAACCAGTTCCTCTGGAGGGACAAATAGAGGCTGAGGCCTTCCCCTGATGTGGCCTCCTGGCTCTGGGATTCAGAGGTTAACTGCCTCTGAATGCGGAGGTTCCCCTCAGCCACCATGGCATAAGAAATGATTCTAGTGATTCCTCTCATCTGATACCTGACATGGTTCTAGCGGTACCTCTCCAAAGACAGTCCCCAAACAAAGGGTGGTAACACATCCAGAAGGGTACAAGGTGGTCATTTTATGCATCCCCCCCACCCAGCCATACCACCCTCCACCCAGTGCGGTCTCCTAGAGACCTGTGTTGAAGGCCAACTGTGTAGCCATCTCAGTGACCTTCCTTGAGGCAATGACCACATGGCACTCGCCCAAGTGGTTTTAAGACACCGTTCAGACGTACCGCCAACATAATTCGGCCCAGAAAAGAGAAGGCAGGACAGAAAAAATCAAAATTTCCATTTCAGGATTCCAGGTTCTAGATGTGAACTGCCATGTTTCATCCACTTGAACACCAGCATAGAAGCACTCGCTGCAGGAAACAGTAGAATTTCACCTCCAGAATCTGGTTGACACACTCATGACAATCCAGGCCCATAGCTACAGTGGGGCATTTTGGGGCTAGGCCTCCCTGACTTCCTGGAAAATGCCCCCCCCCCTTCCAGGGCTCTTTTTGTAGCAGGAACTCCTTTGCATATTAGGCGACGCACCCCTAATGTAGCCAATCCTCCAAGAGCTTACAGTAGCCCCTGTAAGAAGAGCTCTGTAAGCTCTTGGAGGATTGGCTACATTAGGGGGTGTGTCGCCTAATATGCAAAGGCGTTCCTGCTACAAAAAGAGCCCTTGAAGGCTTCTCCCCCTGGGAGGGGCAGCTCCAGTCAAGGGCCTCTAGGGAGGGAGGCAGGCTAGATGCTTGCGGTGGCGGCGGGAGGGAGACTCCAACTTGCTGGTGGCCAGAGCGGAGAGCATCACAGTGCAGGGTTCCTGTGCCCCACTTTCTTTAATCAAATTACCTTTAATTTGATTCGCCGGTGCCCCCTAAGAAACTTAAATGCCCCCTGACTTAAGACATCGTGGCTACGAGCCCGTGACCATCACGTAACGATTCTAAGCCAAGTATGTGAAAAGCCACCACTGAACGATGCTAGGCATGCAGAAGGTCCCGGGTTCAATCCCCGGCATCTCCAGTTAGAAGGACCGCTTTGGAAGTGATGCAAAAGACCTCCACCTGAGACCCTGGAGAGCTGCGGCCAGTCTGAGGAGACAATGCGGGCCTCGATGGACCTATGGTCTGATTCGATAGAAGGCAGCTTCATGTGTTCACATGCAGTCGTTGGAGCAGAGATCTGTCGATCACACGAGTTCCTTTGGTGGCAATTACGAGACATCACCTGCCCGTCCATCAACAAGTGACAGACATAGCCTATGAAGCTCAATCTAACATGCAAATCCAACTCATTCCATACACTCGTCCGCCTTGAGTTCTTGATGGGAAATACATTACAGCGCCCAAGAATTGCCATGGGTCATTTGGGCTGGTCATAGGTAGATTCTTCAGCTATGATCCAACGTAGAAAATGGTGTCCTTGAGCCCACTGAAAATCAAAGGGCTGGGGTATGCCTCTAACTCTATGCTGGGCTGTGGCATGGGAGGATTTCCGTTTATGGGAGGGTTTTCAAAGTGGTTTTTTTTGTGTGTGTCTACATGCCTAAGATTCCACAGAGCTCTGATGTACTTGCAGGGCTTTAAGTGAGCCAGGTTGACCTCTGAAGCAACTGAGGATGTGCAAATCAGAGTGCATGCACAGGAAATGTACATGTCTCTGCAAGCGCAAACACCCGGGGGGAGGGAGCCAGAAACTGCTGATGATATCATCTCGGGGAAAGTCGCAGAGAATCCTTATTCGAATGGCCAAAATATCATGACATATGCAGGTGATGCATTGCCAGAACAGCTGATAGCTGGGGCCCCCAAGTCTGCCCCCCAACACTCTTAAGTAGAACTGCGCTTTTAATTTAAGGCTGGGTCAACCCACGACATTGTGCTGCCCCCTCATGGTAGCTGTGGTACAGGCTGAGAGAGAACATAAGAACATAAGAGACGCCAGTGTTGGATCAGGCCAAAGGCACATCCAGTCCAACACTCTTTGGCCAAAAATACCAGGTGCCATCAGGAGGTCCACCAGTGGGGCCAGGACATTAGAAGCCCTCCCACTGTTGCCCCCCCCCAAGCACCAAGAATACAGAGCATCACTTGCCCCAGACTGAGAGATCCTCTAAGAGCATAAGAGAAGCCCATGTTGGATCAGGCCAATGGCCCATCCAGTCCAACACTCTGTGTCACACAGTGGCCAAAAATACCAGTGCCATCAGGAGGTCCACCAGTGGGGCCAGGACATGAGGAGCCCTCCCACTGTTAACCCCCCCCCCAAGCACCAAGAAGACAGAGCATCACTTGCCCCAGAGTCCCTATCTATACCTTGTGGCTGATAGCCACTGATGGACCTTCTACAAGGACCTTCTAGCACAGGGGTCCCCAACATTTTTGAGCCTGTGGGCACCTTTTGGAATTCTGACACAGCCTGGTAGGCACAGCCACAAAATGGCTGCCAACAATGGCTTGCCTTGGTAGGTGGAGCCAGCCACAAAAATGGCTGCCGCAGCTTCCCATCAATGAAGATCCTTGTGCTGTGGTGGCAGCGGCTGCCAAAGCAATGTTTTAAAATATCTGCACAGCCAATCCAATCTCCATTGGCCAGCCAGAATCCTTGTTGGGCATAAGCCCCACCCACTTCCTTAAAACACTGGGCAGGCACCACAAAGGTGTCAGTGAGGGCAGCGTGGTGCCCATGGTCACCATGTTGGGGACCCCTGTTATAGAGTGTTGCAGGCAGTGTACACATCCAAGAGGTGCAAGCCAGCATCACCTGCAATCTTGTAAAGGACCGTGGGGTGTCTCTCAGGCCGAACACTACCGCATTCGCAAGCCTAAATGCATGGCTTTCTCGAAGGGATCGTTCACGTTACTTGGGAGTCTTGACAGAGAGGCACACAGTGGTGGAAAACGTCCTCTGCCAAAGCATCAAATGAGAACGGAATCCCCCCTGCCCCTGCTTAGAGCTGGTCTTTTTAAACAATCCTTTTACGTGTGCCCAGCAGGGATGGGCACAAACCAGGAAAATGGTGGTTCGTGGTGGTTCGTAGTTTGTTTGATTACATGAACTCTCGTGAACTTTTCCATTTCCCGAACCGGTTCGTGGTTCGGGAGGTTCGTCGGGCCACAGCCCAACCCAGAAGTGAGCTCCAAAGGCATGTAAATATGCGGTTGGGGGCATGGCTGCGGCACCACCTGGAAGTGGGCTACGAAGGTATTTGAATGCCTTTGGAGCTTACTTCCGGGTCAGGCCGCCCAACCAGCAGTGAGCTCCGAAGGAATTTAAATGCCTCTGGAGCCCACCTCT